AAAACATGGAGGCTCAGAGAAGGGGGGTGTATTAGCCTGCTAGGGCTGCCCTCACGAAATACCATAGACCGGGGGCGGGGTGGGGGAGCTTAAAGAACAAAGCTATTTCCTCACAGTTCTGGGGGCTGAAAGTCTGAGCTGGAGGTGTCAGTGGGTTTGGTTTCTTCTGGGCTCACAGAGGGCTGCCTCTCACCGTGTCTTCATACGGCCTTTTTTCCCTCTGCCTGAGCACCCCCAGTGTCTCTGCTTATATGGACACCAGCCCCACCCTCCTGACCTCATTTAGCCTTAACCCCCTCCTTAAAGGCCCCATCTCCAGATAGTCACATTCTGAGACGCTAGGGGTTAGGGCTTCAACACAGGAACTTCGGGGGACACGATTCAGCTCATAACCGGGGGGGAGGGGGGGCACTTACCCAAGGTTATACACCAGTTAGAGGCCAGAGTGAGGCTTGAACTCAGGGCTGACCGACCCCAAAAGCTAAACCTCTTTTTTTCCCATCCCCCACAGCATCCCAACTGACCTGTTTTGTAGAAAACCAGAGTCAGCTAAGCCTTGCCTATTTGGCCCCAGCTCTGGGTGAACTTGCCAGAGGCAGCCAGCCGCAGTGAGCATCACAGGGCTGGCCAGGCAGACAGGCCCAAGATGTGGCTGAACCGGCCTGGCTTCTCCGTGGGCCCCGAGCAAGGGGTCAGGAGTCCAGAGCTGGGCAACTGTGCGTATGTGTGTGTCTGAGAGTGACAGGGATAAAGGCTGTGACATATGACAGGCGCTCATGTGTGTCCCCTCCCTGGCGTTTGTCCCCCCTCCCCTTGGCAGGCTGGTTCCCTCTGCCCTCCGCGTTTGCAAGCCTTCGGCCGGAGGCTGGAGCTAGGGCCGGCAGGGCTGATGACGGAAGCCACCAGCTATCCGCAGAGAGACTGGGTCATGCCCTGGCCCTTCTGCTCCTCCGTCCCCGTGGCCTGCCAGTCCTGCACATCAAGAAAGATCTCAAACGGGCCCTGAAGACGTCTGGCCCGTGATGGCCTCCCAACACCTTAATGCGGCGAACCCACTGTGCCCTCGCTGTGCGCACCTTTCTGCTGGGAGCACAGGGGACAGGCCTGGAGAGAGAGGAGAGACCGGGAGAGGAGGGGAGCGCCGTCTGGGGGCAGCAGCGACACCCCCGACCGTCCCCCACTCGCAGACCTAGAGCTACCCCGTGGGGCAGACCCAGGGTGTGTCGGGAGGGCCACACTGGGAGATGCGGTCACCCGGCCATGCACTCCGGATTCTGGGACCCGAGGCGCCCCCGGCTCGGCAGTGTCATCCGGGCTGGGGGACGTGGGGAGCAGCTGTGGCAGGAAGCAGGCCCTTCCTCCGCAGGAAGGCTACACGGAGCAGGGCTGGGGGGAGGGGAGAAGGGCCAACTCAGAGCAAAGGCTCCCCCTCATCCCCAGCTGGGACGCACTTTGCAGGGAACATTCTTTTCCGAGGAAGGCTCTCCAGGAATCAACTCTTTCAGCCCATGCCCATCCCCTAAGCCAGAGGGGACCTCTGACATCTGTGTGGCTTCCAAGTCAGAAAACCTGCTCGACAATCGGGCGGGAGGAACCCAGTAGCAGGCGTGAGACCTGTGCTCCAGACCAGCTGGGAGCCCTAGCAAGTCCCGGAACATCTCTGCCTCCCTCTCCCTGCTCTTAAAACGAGTATTTCTACCCCGATTTCCCAGGCTTGTTGCAGGAACCACACCAGCTCTTGGACGGGGACGGGTAGGGGAAGCCTCAGATCTTTTTGAAAAGGTAAATAAATTCAGGGCTTGCATGTTTGGGCCGGGAGGTCGCTCACTGCCAAGGTTGCACGGCCAAGGTGGTAAGTGGACTGAAATCCAACCTGGGCTCCCCCAAGGCTGCTCCCTGGCACGGGACCGTGTCCACCCAGAAGAAGGGGCACCTTTTCCAAATCTGTATGAAGGCATTCTACAGTCTAGAGGGAGTACAGGTGAAGTCAGATCTGGGGGTTGCTGAGCCACGTGCCGATTTTCAGCTTAGTGTGCGCAGTACACTAAGTAACCACAGTAGGCACAGGGTGCTGTGGGGCTTGAGGGAGCGGAGGGTAAGCCACTTGGATGAAGCAAGGAGGGCACCCTGGAGCCAGGATGTCTGAGCTGGGTCTTGAAGGGTAAGGCGTTGGCCAAGAGCAGAAGGAAATTGAACACCTGCAAGACCTCGGGGAGACAGCCCGCGGGCCCTTGCGTTTCTGCGTGTCTGGTCAACATCACAGCTTTTACTCTAGACTATCTGAATAGCCTTAGAAGATACAGTTTCTCCCTCCCAGGAAACGGGCTGATTTTTTTTCTTCCTGACCAGAATAATGAAATAATATCTCTCACCTTTGAAGATAGTGTCTCCCTTCAGGGCAAAAGTTGGGCAAGTTTGCTAGCATTCTCTTTGGAAAAGATCCGGGTTTTCCTAGGCTTGAGGTTCCTCAGCCGAGCCCCGGAGCCCAGGGTGTGCCCAGGATCCACCTGGGCTCGCCTACCCCTCCCCTCCGGGCACGTGATGGAGAGGGAGACCCCTAAGCAAATGTGAGGCTCATACATCCCGAGGGCTTTGTCTCTGTCCTGGAGGGGTCTCAGATCTCCTGCCAGCGCCCATGAAACTGTGGTAGGTGACCTTGTTAGCCTGCGAGTGGGGTAAAAATCTTAGGCCCTGGCAGCTCTTGACAAGGAGGCTAAAGAAAGTGAGAAGTCTCAGAAAAATGAAATCGAAGTGTGCAGGGTAACGGGTCATTTCAAGGTGGCGTGAAGAGTTAGTCTGAGCAAGGAGAAGTGAGAGGAGGCCGGGCCAGGCCCTGAACAGTCCTGGTTGGCACTCAAGGAGTCTGGAAAGTCTCCACTCAACGTGGAACGGAACTGGAGAGGGCTGGGCTGGAGGCAGGGGGTCTATGAAGCTGCCTCAGTGACCGGGGAGAGAGGAGGTGAGGTCTGAACTGGGAGGGTTCAGGGATGGGCAGGGGAACCCTGAGAAGCAACAAGGGGGTAGAGGCAGCAGGATATGGTGGAGGGTGTGAAGGGATTTTCGTCCTGGACACGGTGCTGGAGGGATGTGCCATCCGCTGAGATCAAGGGGGACGCGGGCTTGAGGGGGACCAAACTGCCTCTGCTTCGACAGAGCATAGTGGGGTGAAGCCCATTAGATGTGTTTACATCCATGAGTTCAAAATGATTTTTTTTTTAAGATTTTATTTATTTACTGGACAGAGAGAGCACAAGCAGGGGGAGCAGCAGAGGCAGAGGGAGAAGCAGGCTTCCCGCTGAGCAGGGAGCCGGATGCGGGACTCAATCCCAGGACCCTGGGATCATGACCTGAGCCGAAGGCAGAGGCTCCATTGACTGAGCCACCCAGGCGCCTCCCAAATGATCTTTAGAAAGCTTCCTGGGTCACCTTTTACCAATTCAAAAACTAGGTAAATAAGAGGACAGAGGGAGTCTTTTTCCTGCCTTTCCCACATGAGCTATGCCAGGGGGTATAGCAGGCAAGGTGAAGTGACTCCTTCTAAAGTTGTCACAGCTAATAAACGAGAACGACTAGAATTAGAATTTCACCAGTTTGCAGTCCCTCAAATTCATTCCCGAGTGGCTGCACCAGCTTGCCTTCCCACCAACAGTGTAGGAAGGTTCCCCTTTCTCCGCAACCTCGCCAACATGTCGTTTCCTGTCTTGTTAATTTTAGCCATTCTGACTGGTGTGAGGTGGTATCTCATTGTGGTTTTGATTTGTATTTCCCTGACGGCAAGTGATGTTGAGCATTTTCTCATGTGAAAGACATTACCGTTTTCGTTAAGTAGGCAAGAGCGAACCAGTGTCTAGGGATGCACATGTGATAAAGCCACAAAGAACACAGGGAGAGTGGGTATGGTGACTGGGATGGAGCAGGAGGGTTTCTGGGTGGCTGGTGTGGTTAGTTTTAGGTGTCAAGGTGCAGTGAGCCATGGCGCCGATATCTGGTCGATTACTCTGGATGTTGTTGTGAAGGTGTTCTTTGGATGGGATTAACATGAAAATTGGTGGACTTTGAGTAAAGCAGGTCATCCTCCATAATGTGGGTGGGCCCCATCCAATCAGATGAAGGCCTGCGTAGAGCCAAGCCTGAGCTCCTCGGAACAAGAAGGAATTCTACCAGCAAACAGCTTCTGTACTTGAACTGTAATTCCCCCCAACCCAGGTCTCCAGTCTGCAGACTTCGGACTTAAAACTAAGCCTCCACAGTCATGTGAGTCAATTCTTTAAGATAAATCTCTCCAGGGCGCCTGGGTGGCTCAGTCGGTTAAGCGACTGCCTTCGGCTCAGGTCACGATCCCGGAGTCCCGGGATCGAGTCCCACATCGGGGCTCCCTGCTCGGCAGGGAGTCTGCTTCTCCCTCTGACCCTCTTTCCTCTCGTGCTCTCTCTCTCATTCTCTCTCTCTCAAATAAATAAATAAAATCTCAAAAAAAAAGATAAATCTCTCCAAACATATATACACACACGATATCGGTTCTGTTTCTGCGGAGAACCTTGACCTAATACAGCTGGTAAAGTTCTAGTTCTTGACTTTGGTGATAGTTACAAGGATGTTCACCTTATAATTCACTAAGCAACATGTATGTTTTGCATGGTTTTCTGTTTTTATAACGAAAAGGTAAAAAAGTAAAGTATCATTTGCATATAGGTATGTTAATATAGAAAAAGGGGGTTCTTGATGAATACCAGATTGGTACTCAGGATTTACGGGGAGAAGAGATGTGCACGTTTTGCTCTGAATATTTTTGTGTTGCGACTTTGTGCGTGAGCATGTCTGTACATTTTGGATAGAATTACAGAAAAAAAAATGCTGGTCCTAGTTGTGACACACGTGGAAAGATCAACCTTGATTAGAAACTGAACAGAAGAGGACTTCATAGGGAGGGACAGAGAGCCCACTTCCACTGGGGGCCTGCTGGATCCACGGGAGGAGAAGAAAAGCCAGGGCACTACAACTTAAGGAACTGTCATTTATTTGAGAAACAAAACACAGCTGCTCTTGACGTTTAGAACCATGAATATTCAAGCTTCTGTATTTATTAAACAGGTAAGTATACTTTCATTCTACAGAGAGGACCACGAGAGTCATCAACAATTGCTAAGAACACAGGCGCAGAGCTTTTTGCCACCTGTATCTTGAGGCCTCCTAAGACTTCCTTTCAATTTTCTCCTTTTCAGTGTCTGCTTTTCTTTGATCATCAGCCAGCCCTCAGGTTTGCCCGTCACTGAACATTAGTGATAACACACAGTAGGCTTCTTGTACTTGTCACCTAAAACCCTAGAGCTCCCCCAAGTCTCTAGGACAGTAAGAGTTCTTTTCCCTGAAGTCACGCGATTAGCCAGCAGGCCCACCTCATTGAGAAAGGATAATCTGTGATGAAAAGTGGATCCATTAGAAACCAAAGTATCACCTGGAATTTGTCACAGACATAACCCTACTGGCCAGCGTCCCAACTTCTAGTCCTTAACGCCAAACTTCAAAGGCATCGATCGCTGCTGAAGAAGACCCGTTTCACGACGTAAAGACAGGCGGTCATCAGGGCGAGCGCTTAGGTGGTGTCCCCTGCTTTCTCTGTCGCTATCTATCTAAACAGCACTGGGCTCTATGGCTTATTTTTTAAAAACAGCATCACTGAAACGAAAGGCGCAAACCACATAATTCCACTTAATGTGTACAATTCGGGGGCTTTTTGTGTACTCAAGAGTCGTGCAGCCGTCACAACCCAGGCCAGAACACTGTCAATCACCGCAGAAGGTCTGCATGCCCCTCAGCAATCACTACTTCCCCGTTTCCCGCTCTCCCCACTGCCTGGCACCCCTCAGCTACGCTCCGTCTCTACGGACTGGCTTATTCCAGACATCAGCTGTAAACAGGATCCTAGAATGCGTGGTCTTTGGTGACTGGTGACTTGGCTCAATGTCCTAACAGGCATCGGCACTTGGTTCCTTGTACTTCTCTAGGATATTCCACTGCGTGGATGTAGCTCGTGTTACTGACTCGTCTTTAGCCCCTCGTGAGTCCGTCCCCGTGTGGGGCACCGGGCCGAGGGAAACAGTCAGCCAGGCAGCCTCTGCCCCCCAGGAGCTGAGACACCCAACCCCCCGACCCGGGAAAGGCAGACCCTGACACTAGCCACGACCGATGCAAAACAACGCAAGACAGACAGGGGAGAGGACTTTCCATGGGGCATGGGGGGGGCAGGAGGAAGGTGAAGAAGGTTCAAGGGCGAAGTGGCACTTCAGACACATCCTGAGAATCTATCCCATGAAGGGAAAGGCACTCTGGGGGCGAGGGGACCAGCAGGTGGCAAAGGCACAGGAGGTTGAAAAGTCCGGGAGCACAGAGGAGCAGGAAGCAGGGGTGGGGGGCAGGGGGACTGCTGTAGGCAGGAGCATCAGGTGCCAAGTCAGGGGCCTTGAAGTTAATGCTCAGGTTCAGTGATAAATCTTTTTTTTTTTTTTTTTTTAAGCCTTGCCCATTGTTGATAAGTAAGATACAAAAACAAAAAAATCATAGTATTTTCCATTTGGGGGTTCCATCCCTCCCTCTTCGATAAAGGTTCCAGCTTCCAATTCCTCAGAACCCTTCACTGTCTGTGGAAGCCCCTCGTCAACCTCCTGCTCCTGGAAAACAAATGAGCCCCAAAACCTCCTCAAAAAGCAAATATTACCTTTCTCAACACTGAGCTTTACCCAGGCCAATGTGTAGTTTTATTGGAGCGGCACACAGGACCTGGAGGAAGCTGGGGGAGGAGGGAAGGGCCCTGGAGGGTGGGTGGCCCGACCGCATCCCCCGGCAGCACCCGGAGCCCCTGGGGGCGGCCTCCTGCCGGCTCCCCATCTTGCAACTGGGATGAGCACACATTGTAAGGGGCAGTGTTCACATGGGGCAAAGCATCAGGAAGGCAAGTGTTTCAGTAGTAATGAAGGCAAACCTTGTCCATGGCCAACTGTATTCTGTAAGAAGCAGGAACAAGAAGTTGGTGAACCACGTCCCATCTGAAGAAATGACCCCAAACCTAATCCAACCCAGAACAGGTGGTCGTTGAGGGCAGACCCGCCCGACGGGGATCATGGAGGCTACGTCCAGTTTGAATTCCTCCACCGCAAGAGGGAGCCGCTGGTGGGAGGAATGCTGTCCAGGGGCAGAAAGGGCTAGAAATGCCGCTCCCGCCCACCTGCAAAAGGACACCGGGCCCGCATGCTGCGTGCGCATTTACCTGTCGATCGGATAAGGCTGCTCACAAAGGTTGACCAGCACGTACAAGTGTCTCAGAGCATGCTCGTACTAGGGGCGAACAAACCAAAAAGAGACATCACCATCTCACCACACCAACCACTCTTGACTCGGGAATATCCTACTTTCGTGGTTACGGGCGCAAAGCACCTTGACCTGTGGTTCTTGACCTTCTTTGGCTCAGGGACTCCCCCTCCCTACCTTTCAGTAACCTGGTGAGATTTATGGGCTTCCTCCCGTGAAAACGCCCCCCCCCCCCCGCCGCCTGGGGGCGGGCAAGCCTCCTAAAGCATGTGGCCACCAGCTCAGGCCTCCTGAGGGCCCACCGTGACCCTGCTCCCCTCTCTTACCTAGGACTCCCCCCGCACCTTGCCCACCTGGCTTTGGGCTCTGGGAACCCCTATTCTGGGAGGGACGCAGGGAGGAGAGAGGATGGGAAGTGGATGCCAAGCCAGATGGCCCCAGGCAAAGACTGAGAGAACCCGGAATGTTTATCTTGCAAACCCTTCAGGGGCATGTGAGAACTCTCCGGGGCAAGAAGGAAGAGATCCGCTTTGTGTGATTCCAGAGGGCAAAACAGTTAACACCGGAAGACAAAGCACTGATTAAAATAAGGGGGACATTTTTTATTTTCACGTAAGAAAAACATTTTCCTTACAAAGTTAAATAAAAGAAAAAATACAATGGAGAGCTTCCAAATATTGGAGAGCCACCTCCAAAGGGCCCGGTACCCCATCTTTGGAAGTATTCAAGCACGACCGGCGTGCACACCACGACCCGATAGAGCTTTCTACAGTGATGGAAATGGTCTATCAAATTCTCCAATTTGGTAGCCAGTGGCCACATGTGGCTACTGAACGCCTGAAATGTGAATTCAGGCAGCCTTTCGAGGCGAGTGACTACAGTAGGGAAGAACACAGCTCTAAAGCAGGAGCTGGCAAACTTCTTCTGAGAAGGGCCAGACAGGAAATATTTTTGGCTCTGCGGGCTGCATGAACTACTCGATTCTGCTAGAGTGGGAAAGCGGCCATAGAAACTATGCCACAGTTAGAACATGGCTGGGTTCCGATGAAACTATTTCTAAAAACAGGCTATGGGCAGGATGGGGCCTGGGGGCTACTTTGCTGACCCTTTCCCTAGAAGGCTCCCGGCATCACATGGTGCTGACCACAGACACCGTCCAGCCTGACTTCTACTAGGGCCTGACTTCAACAATAAATCCTGGGGAGGGGTCAGAAGAGACCGGGGTGAGGGATGGGGTGTGGCAGGGGAGTTGAGTCATGACTGGTAAGCTCCTACCCACTGCACAACTGACTGTGTCTGGGGCCAGGATGCATGGTCCGTGAGTCTGGATGACCCTCCTCCTGTCCCCATCAAAGGCCTCTGAATGAGTGCACTGTTTTCTGAGCCTAATGGAACCTTCTACAAGGCCAGGCACCTTGTGTGATTTCCAGCGGCTGATACTAATTTAGCTTTGGGGGTTTAAGAACGCAGAGAAGGGCTCCGTGGGCCCAGGGAAGGCGGCGTGCGGAGGCCAGTGGCCCCGGGCCCCGGCCTTACCGTGGAGGAGTGCCAGTTGAAGCAGTGTGTGCGGAAGTGCGACACGGCTGCCTGGTAGCAGGCATGCGCCCCGAGCTCGGCTCTCCTGGACAGTAGCCTCTCCGCCTCAGCATCCGAGCTCACGAGCAAGGAGACCATCTTCCGCACTGACTTCTGGATGACGTGCCTCGCCTGTGGAGACGCACAACTTCTCAAAATATACCTTATTTTAGGCAGTCTCTCTTGGAACCCTGGATTAGTTAGAAGCTCGTTCAAAGTGATCTCTTCATGGGCTTCTAAGCCGGTATGTTAAAACAGATGCCAAAAGGGGCGCCTGGGTGGCTCAGTCGGTTAAGCGTCTGCCTTCACTCAGGTCATGGTCCCAGGGTCCTGGGATTGAGTCCCACGTCGGGCTCCTTGCTCAGCAGGGAGTCTGCTTCTCCCTCTCCCCCTGCCCCTCCCCCTGCTCGTGCTCGCTTGCTTGTTCACTCTCTCAAATAAATAAAATCTTTAAAAATATAAAATAAAATAGATGCCAACAGAGGCATTCTGCAGGAGGCAAGAGAGGTGTGTGAGAGACTTCTCTAACAGCCAGAAACCTCTAGAAATAGCCTGCCTTTGTTCAGGGTCTTCTGACACGATGGAAACATTTAAATCTAACCACCTGAAGAGCAGCCCTGGCCCACTCTGAGGACAGGGGTGGGCGTAGAAATTGTGCCCCAAAGTAGATTGTTGTCCCCTGACTGGTGCTGTGTGTTCACGGGCACATCCGCCTATCTATTCCAGAAACCACCAGAAAGAGGGGCACAGATGGGGGCATCGCTTCCTTCCCAAACGATGAGTAAAAAAATACCCACTACAAAATGGGTTCATTATTGTTATTTCTAAATCAGTTAATATTTTTAAAATCTCACTGTCGTTTCTAATGCAGCCCATATCACCATAACGCCACACAAACAAAAGTACTTCGGAATCAAAATTTTAGTAGGAATATAAAGAGGTCCCCGACTAACAGACTCACAAGTATGAGGACCTCTGTATTACACTAAGACCAGCAAAAAATATACCAGATGTGGGGCACCAACCGCCAGGATTATCCGAGACAGGAATTTAAACCGGATCACAGAGATGTGTTCTTTCCTAGAAAACACAGCCTAATGCTCCCGAATGCCCGAGTGCTGTGCTGGTGAGGCTGACGAGTCACCACAGAGCGGGCTCCGCTGAAGGAGACCGCCTCCGCCCGGCAGCCCACCAACCGCTCGCTCTCTGGGTGCTTCTAGGCGCACAGCAAGAACTGGAAACGCGAATCTGCCAGTTCCAAACAATTGGATGAGCTACCGAAAACAAACTCAGTAATTGTAAAAGATCGCTCAAACATTTTAAGGAAGAATTTTAGGCTATGACTACGATTTCCTAAGGCCACAGCAACTTTGTGGGCTGCATTTTTTTTTTTTTAACCATGATTAGCTAATAACTCACCAAGCGGCGATATTAAACTGTTTTCTAAGCAACCAGGCATAAAAGAGGGCAACGCCCACATGCCACAACTTGTCGGCAGGATACAGGAGAGACAGCCCCCAGTCCTCTGCTGCCTGCTACCAAAGAGGTCAAGGTCAGCTGACTAATGGAGAATGAAGAGAGCCACTGCTCTGCTCACTGCTTCTCTCTCACACAGAGCACAAAGGCTAGTCCCCTTTCCCACAGACTCCCACGTGGCAGGAAGAGGCGTGGCCCTGGAGTGCTGTCACCTACCTCCGAGCGGTGCTGGTAACTGTCAGCAGGCAGAGACCAGGGCCATGCACGCGGCCCGGTAAGGCTGGGGGCAGGTGTGGGAAACGGTTCCTTTGAGGGCTACTTACATCCAGATGCCTGTGGATCTGCTCCACGAGATTCCTGGACTCCTGCAGATCATTGGTGCTCATCAGCTTCCTTTTCAAGATGGTGAGGGGCACCTCAGGGCTTGGGGTGAGGTCAAGGTGTCTGACCGGAGGCAGGGAGATAGGAGAGCTGGCTTTGTGTTTCATACCCTGAAACTGCATCACTTTCATGGTGGAGATGGACTGAGGAGAGAAGGAGAAAGCCAGACTGAGTGGCAGACGTGCCAAATGTCTCCTGGGTCCTGCCTCTTCGTGCGAGGCTCACAATTCACACCACGTGGTTTCAGGACCACCGAAGGGCCATGGGTGCAGCCTGGAAACATGCACCTGGCCCTCAGTAGAGGGCAAGAAGACACATCCACGCACCTGAAATCTACCAACGATGAACTCTGAAAATACCTGGCTTCCTTTGCAGGAGAACCACTAATTCTGTCACCTATGGAAGGCAATCACCGCTCCCCAGTCACGCAGAGCTTGGACCAGGGTCCTTCCAGCCAGGGGCGACCCTGGGTCGTGCTGCCCTACCCATGCTCACCTGCCGGGCCCCAGCACCCGGGAGCAGGAAGGCGCAAAGCACAGGTTAGAGTTGCGGTCAGGGTCCACTGAGCGGGACAGAGCTAAAGCCACAGTGGGGCCGGCTGACGGTCAGGGCCAAACAGGCACGTCAGCCAGGCTCTGTCTGCCCGCACTGGTCACTCCAGACTGGACCCCAATCAGAGGGAAAAAAATGCTACAAGCGATCCTGTTCTTAAACCACGCAACAGTTGGGGTGCCTGGGTGGCTCAGCCCGTTAAGCGTCTGCCTTCCGCTCAGGTCATGATTCCCCAAGTCCTGGCATCGAGCCCTGCATCGGACTCCCGGCTTGGCGGGGAGTCTGCTTCTCCCTGGGACCCTCCCCAGCAATAATCTAAAAAGTTCTAAAACAAAAAATAAAATACACACAAATATAGAGCAACACGTAATGTTTGGAAACGATCCATCATAGCTCGTCAACCAAGACCAGGAACAGCCAGTGCAGAAGAAATCACAAGGCGCACAGGAAGCCCGGGGCAAAGAGCTGGGGCCAGGTACTCTCTCCCGCTTCAGTTCCACCACGCCCCCCCACCCCCACGCAGCCAGGGCCATGCCACCTCTGATCCTGCCTCCTCCGAGTCACCTTTCCCTCGCCTTCTCTCTGCTCCCTGCTCCCCCACCACCACTCAGAAGCCTGGCCAGGCCCGTGGCATCTTGAGGGCACATCTCGTGGCCTGTGCCTGCCCTGCTGGCTCCCAGGATCCAGTCTACACTCTGTCCTTGAGGAGCTGGAGGGTTGACTGGCTCACAGGGATCTTCTAGAAGGACAATGCTTGCATCCAAGGAACAGATCTCAGCCACTGAGAGCTCAGATGGTGTCAGGCCGCCTGGGGAATGGCATTTGGTCACATGGACAGGTGCACAAACCACCTCCTCTGCACATCTCAAGGGTTAGCCCCTGCCCCCCGTGGTGACACATGAGGCCCAAGCCTTCAGCAGCCACCTGCTGCGACCTCTGTCCACACAGCCCTGATAAACTTACCCATTTAACCACCTAGGTCCCTTCTGAACAGAGTTGGGGGGTGGGGTGGAAGTCCCTAAATTCTAGCCCAAAGGTAAAGGTAACCCTTGTGCCAGGCCTGCTCAGGGTTTCTGATGCACGACCTTCTTTAATTGCATGCTAAAGCTCTGACCAAGGAAAAAATGGAGATTTGGAGAAGCAGCTTGTCCCAAATCTCACAACCTTGCGAGAGTGAAGCTGGCAAAGTCCAGGGCCCGGGCATGGTGCCCAAGATGCAGAGCCACCCTGCCTCTTTTCACCAAAAGACGCATGTTCCCGGGGAGTCGGCCCGAAGCTCCGCCATCAGCAGGAGCAGGGGGCTGCCCTCCTCACCTTGTTCCCGTACTGCATGACGTGGCTGGTGTTGGTGTGAGACTTCACCAGCTGGTACTGCTTGTGGAGGGTCTCTCTGGTCAAATCCTCCTGCAGAGAGGAAAACATGGAAGTCCTCTGACCATCAGAGCCGGCGGCTGGGCCTCAGCAGTGCAGCCGGACCCCTGAGGGCTCACCACGTCTGAGTCCTCCATCCAGTTGACGCTGTACCAGTCCCCCAGGTACGTGGATCTCTTCTCATCATAGTAACAGGCGTAGGATGACTCTGTTGGGTTGGCAGCGGTGGTCGCATACACTAGTAGGGATTCAAGACACCTTGCCATCACACTCTGTTCCCCACTGTGGGTGGGTCCCACCTGCAGTGTGAGCCTTTCCGTCTTCCCTAGTGAAATCAAAGCTACCAGCATGGGGAGGGTACGAGAGCACAAGTGTACCCGGCCCTGTGAATTTGGTTACAGCAACTGTCTAAAATTAAACGTGGAAGAAAGAGAAGCTGGTTGATAGACACTTTCTGCAGTAATAAGCAAGCACACATGCTCAGTAGGATGCCAAGCTATTTTAGAATAACACTGAGAGATTTTAATAGCTCTGGAAACTCGAAGAACATGTACCTAATTTCATTTTCAGAGAAAGTTACTATCTACTGAACGAACACTTTGAACATACATAATAGCTACCATTTACTATCTAGCTACTATGGGCTCAGAATCGCGCTGAGCAAATGTTAGCACTTAAAATGCACCACTCCCCACAGACAGCCCCAGTATACAGATGGGGATAACTGAGGGTCCATGAGGGTACTGCCCACGATCAGACAGCCAGCAAGCAATGCATCGCAAAGGACCAAAGCCGGTCCAAAGACTACGTGACCTTGGACTTAAGTAGCTTCACCAAAACCTGGAAGAGGACCGTGAGGCTCCCATCAGATTCTTTATTCCTGGACCACTAATATTGAAGAGAAGTCCAGAGCTGCCCACAGATAAGCCCTCTCCCCCACTTTTGTGCACCAGGCTGCCCTAGACCCCTACTTATATAGACCACTTGGCTCTTCCCATTGGCAGAATCAGAGAATGACCAACTGCGCTGCCAAGCAACCTGCTCACCCAGCCTGGCTCAGAGGCCAGTGCTCCCACCACCTACCGTTGATGTCGGCGGGCAGGTGCCTCATCATGGACCCAGACTCACAGGCTTCAATGTAGAAGACCATCTGTGAGGCAAACAAGACAGGCGACCTCACACCCTGGCCAGGCACAGACTGTGCAGGGATGTCAGTCTGGCTCTGCCCACTCTCCTCACCCATTCTTAAGGATCCTTTACTCTTGCTTCTGGGAGATCTCTGCTGGGAAGGCTACAGAAGCTGCTGTCATACAAACCAGAAGGACTCCAATCTATTCATCGCTCACAGACTAAAATGATCTATCATTTGAAATGATGCAGGGCAATTGGTGCCACAGATAATGCTAAGGAGAACCGTTCTGCCATCCAACACAAGAGAGACAGTGCGGCAAGCCCATTTCCACATTTCTATCCCGGACGTGCTCAGGCCATTCAGTGTGTATAAAGGCTGCCAAGGCGGGGGGGTAGGGGGTTGGGTGGGGGGAGTAAGGGCCAAAGTGAAGTAAGATGGTGGTATCTTCCTCCCAGTGACTCCCAAACTGGAGTCAATGCTAAGAACAGTGGTCTTCAAAGTGTGGTCCCTAGATCATTAGCGTCGGTGTCAACTCAGAAAGGCAAATTCTCAAGCCTCTGTCCCCAGGCCTCTGAGTCAAACTCTGGAGGTGGGGTCCACACCCTGTTTTAATAAGAGCTCTAGTGATTCTGAGTTAACTAATAGCTAATGCCCTAGAATCACTAAAGGTGAATCCTGGAAAACCAGCGGTCAAGACTGATCAAAGGACACTCTCCAGAAACAGCAATTTGGAGTTGGGGGTGGTCATGGGGCGGTAGGCTCTGCGTCTCCTACCTTCCTCACACTCCTCCCTGCCAGGCCACCCCAAGTGCTGACGTTACCTTTTGGTACATCTTGTGTTCATACATGTAACGGATGGTCTCATTCAGGTCCTTCACGTGAAGCTGCAAGGGAAGAATATTGACATTTAGACCAACATATCAAGAGAAACCATTTGCTAGATAACACACTACTAAAGCCCTAATGCTGCTTTGTAAATTCTTAGTTATCAGCCCTTAGAAAGAATCACAGTGACCAGCAGCATTATCCCAAAGTGGCGCCTCGCATGTTTTATTCAGATATTTCAAGGGGGGGAAGAGAATGAGCTTTCTCATTCATTACTTTGTCTGGAGTATTCAGAGGCTGTGTTCTATTACTGCATCTAATGCCACGTACCCGAGTCTGGAGACAGTTTACTGAGGCTGGGATATGAAGAGAAATGTAGGCAATACCTGAGATGCTTCTGGATAGGTTTCAAGCTGCTAAGCGTGGCCCCTATACTCGCCTGCCACACACAGAAACCAACCCCGGTAGAACATTAGAAATGCACATCACAGTCTGGATGTCGACACCAAGCTTTTGTTTGCCACTCTCCTACTTTGTCCTCACAATGTTAAGAAAAACTGGGGCACCTGGGTGGCTCAGTCGGTTAAGTGTCTGCCTTTGGCTCGGGTCATGATCCCAGGGTCCTGGGATCGAGTCCTGCATCAGGCTCCCTGCAAGGGAGCTGGGAGCCTGCTTCTCCCTCTGCCTCTGCCTGCCACTCCCCCTGCTTGTGTTTGTGCTCTCTCTCTCTGTCAAATACATAAATAACGTTAAAAAACAACAACAAAAAAAAAAAACCCACAAAAAACAATGGGAAAGAAAACTCACATCGTCATTCGGAAACACCAGTATACCGGTGGCTCCGTGATCGGTGAAGTAAACGAACACATGGTCCCGGGGGCCGCTGCCGAGAGAGGGTGACAGGCAAGGGGAGTCAAAGTTGACCAGTTCCTATTCCCATTTCTCCGAAAAGCCGCTGGAAGAAGAGGATCGAGGACGACAAGTCTCCCAACCAGACACAAAGAGGAACACAGCACCTGCTGTCAGCCCTTGCCCTCCACTCCTGCTGAGGGTTACCCTGAGCCACAAGGCACACCAAAGAGCTTCAAAGCCATGAACTGTGGCCCGGGAGGAGGGGACATCTGCTGGGTAGTGGGTCATATGGACCAGGTGTGATGCAAATGGTGGGGACCTCTGGTAATCGGGCCTCACGCCGGCAGCCACACTTTCCAACCAGATCTCCCCCAAATGAGGAAGGAAGCCAGGACACACAGAGGAACACAGGCCTTCAGCTCAGACTTCTTCCCTTCTGGGCCCCTCAGCCTGCACACTGTTGGCCCACCTTCTGCCCTGCCCACCCGCCCCCACGCCTCCTCACACCTGCCCCTGTCCTCTAGCTGCAGAGGAACAGCGCCATTTGCCAAGCATCTGAGATGGTCTGCAGTTATCGCTAACCCACATCGGTAACCCACAGCCAGCCGCAAGCAGTGAGCTGGTTTTCCCCGGTCCGAAGGTTAGCACTGTGCGTGTGAATGCGTTCCTCTCCCCACTGGGCTGACATGGAACATGGCAACCTGACTGGCTCCAGCCTGACCGGCTCCAGCCTGACCGGCTGCGGGGCTCCGTGCCTGTCTCGGTGCATCCCGCCGGCAGTGGAACATACCAGCACGAGGATCCGTGGACAGCACAAAAGCAGTGGGTTTAAGTGACAGGGAACATTTCATTAACAAAAATGAGGGACCCTGGCTCCTCGGGTGAGTTCGGGACAGAAACGGGCTCCCCAAAAGAGCCACCAGCTCTGCGCAGCCTGTCTGAAGTCAGGACAAAGTTCCCGGCTCTGTCACTTCTCAGCAGGAAACAGGCCAAGAGTAAAGAGCACCACCTGTTTCGGGTGTCAAGTCATTCAGGAAAGTGTGGGAGCCATAAAACTGCCATTACCTCTTCAAGACCTTTCCAGATCCTTTGCCCTTCACTGCTTCCTCATCGCCTCTCAACACGGCGAGGAAATTTTGTGGGGTGACATCCTACAAAGAATTGGAAGTCAAAATCAGATGCAGCTGTCATTCCAAATCCGAGCATTTGCGGAGTCCGTAGCAGACCTGGGCCAGCAGTCCACACGTCTTCAAGGCTCCAGGTTTAACAGCAAAGACTTTGGAACCAAGTAAGACCCAAAGCAAGGCCAGTGTTTCTGGGGCCTGTGCATGACCCCTTGTCAAATATTGTGTTGCCTTTGACTGATGGCAACTCAGCAAGCCTGCCATTCCTTTCTGACCATTACAAAGTCCATGTGGGGAAACCCAAGGATGCTGGAAGGTAGGGACAAACAGCAGAGGAAAAGCGAAGTCCCACAGAGGCACAGCAGAGAGGGAGGAGAAGCATCAGCCCTGGGCCTCCCTTTGCGTTCAATATGCTGCCTACAAGGTCAAATCCCAAGGACACTTGATGTCCTTAAAGATTAAAGATAACATTGGGGGCGCCTGGGTGGCTCAGTCGATTAAGCATCTACCTTTGGCTCAGATCATGATCTCAGGGTCCTGGGATCAAGTCCCGCGTCAGGCTCCTCGCTCAGCGGGGAGCCTGCTTCTCCCTCTCCCTCTGCCACTCCCCCTGCCGATGCTGACTCTCCCTGTCAAATAAATAAAATCTTAAAAAAAAAAAAAAGATAACACTATTGTCCGATCATTTAAAAAAAGCAAAATAGGAAAGTATAAGGGGGGGTTATCACCAAAAATTCTACCACCTAAGATTCCAGACATTTCCTTGTCTCACTATATAAAAATAACTTCATAAAAATGGGATCATCGATATTACATGTATGATGTGTTCAATTGAAATGTACTTGAATTTACAAGAAACTGAAAGAATTGCTGAATTTCAGATAAATGCTTCTTCATCACCAGAAATATTAGTTCCTACACGACCTCTCTGAAATCAGGAAAGAGACTATGGCAAACCACAAGGCAGCATCATTACGGGGTTTTTAAAAAATCTGTTAATTGATACAGCTTGAATCGACTGGGAGGGATACAATTTGGAAGTGATAAACAATAATATTAATGAAAAATGATCTCAGCGAAATCCAGGGATGCTCTGCACCAGGGCCAGTGCTAAGAAAATTGAAATTGATAATTTTTTGATAATTGAAATTTTTGAATAATTGAAATAATTGATAATTGAAAATTTTCAGAAAAAAACACAGATCTATAATTGGATTAGCACCCAAGACCTCAAGAAAATCGGGTTTTACTGAAGGAAATCTATTATCAGGCTTAACGTATAAGAAGACTAGAAACTAAAAATCAGTAGACTACAACTTCTTTCTAACTTTTTTCCCCGTTTTTTTCCCTCGGCTTCCTTACAAAACTCTCAGAAATTCCTCCTCAAGCACAAATCTTACTAGAAACATGAAGCAATGACCAGAGATCAGTCTAGTGAGGTTCTGACCTTGGAAATGCAAGAACGAGGGGAGAGCCATCTCTGGAATGGAAACAGACCATGCTGCCTCCAGCCCCGCACCCCTCACCTCGCCCGTGTAGTCCTTCGGGACCCCCGCGTACACGTCTGAGCCATTGGGTCTGTTGATCACAATTCCTGGTGTGGGGTTGCTGAAAACCAAAGGACACCTGTGAAGCATGCAGTGTGACGTGCCTCTGAAATCTCTCTTCAAAAACATGCCCCCATTACGTATACAAGTAGTAAGCGACTGTGTTTGCCAAAGACGTGTCTCATCTCCTGCACGGTCACCCGTGTGCCAGGGGCTCTAGGGCTGGGGGTCTCAGGCAGCCCAGAGGCCCGAGTTCTCGGTGGGAGCGGTTGAGGGAGGTCCCGGAAACGGAGGACAGGTGTGCCTGGCCTCCTGTTGGGACCCACATAGCATCCTGGGGGCAAGATCTGAGCGAAAGACCTCCCAGAGCAAAACTACTTACAGAGAAAGCCAGGGCGAAGGACAAGACTTTAGTACAAGAGCTAGGCGTGAAAGCTCAGAATGGATTATGAGGTGGTGATCATGGGATCAGCCCTCCTCGGCTCCAGCAGGGAAAACAAGGGAGTGCAGAGACTCACACCAGTAAAGCGTGGCAGCCACAACCTGCTGCCCCCGATTTCCTTAAGAAATCAGAGAAGCAGGCGTGAGAGGACTGGTTGTAAAACTGAATTCAACAAATAATAAGCACAGAAAGAAGGGTCATTGGATCTAAGCTACAAACAAGAGTCCCCTAGGCACAGGGCCGCAGAGGCAACCCCTCCCCCTCCCCCCGCCGGTTCGGAGGTCAGGAACAAGCACTGCAGAACTCAGTGGTGAGTTCTCCAAGCCCAGAAGGAACTTACACTTTAAACTCTTCCAGAGCGCCGGCCCCAAACACCCTTCAGCGCCCAACTCCTATGCCATTGCCACTGGCAAGGTGCCCCGAGCTATGTTCCAAGTTCTACATGAAGCAGCCCCCTGGGATTTCATCCGCGAGTCTTTTTACATTCTAATTCTAAGGTCTGCATTCTAACACGAATTCTAAAGATTCCTGTGAGTCTGTATGCATTTTAAAAAAATATATCCTTGGGCGCACCTGTGTGGCTCAGTCGGCTAAGCATCTGACTCTTGGTTTCGGCTCAAGTCATGCTTTCACAGGGTCCTGGGATAGAGCCCTGAGTCAGGCTCCATGCTCAGCGGGGAGTCTGCTTGAGATTCTCTCCCTCTGCCCCCCCCACTGCCCCCACTCATGCGTGCGCACTCTCTTTCTAAAAGAAATAATCTTTAAAAAAAATATATCCTGAATTCACCACCAAGTTCAAAATGCTGCCTACTTACTCTTCAGAGTTGGCTATGTCATCATACATCATCACAATGATCTGTTCATCAGGAATCCCGTTTCGGTGAACAATCTGGTAGGCGTGGCATGCATCCGCCTGGGAGAAATGATGTTGTCAAGTGTTAGATTTTGCCCAGAAGGGGCCAATTTTGGAGTTCTAAGGAGCAACATATTCTTTCTCATGGAAGACAAGCTTTGAATCATTCCCTATGGGTCAGGTATTTAAATTATTTCAAAACACATACATTAATATTTTTTCAACTCAAATTTTTTTAAAAATCCCCCACCTCGCCCATTACCTAAACTCTCAATTCACCCGGCAGTTGGTGTAGATGTAGACCACACACAGACATGCACGTACACACAGCACCACCACTTGGGTGACCAGAGCCTTAAAAGGTCCTGGATAATTTATTTCCCTTTTCCACACCCTATAAAAGTCTCCTGAAAGCACTGAGTTGGGTCCCAAGAACAGAATGATGAACTGCAGAGTCAAAGCTTACCTCTGTATCAAACAGGATTTTTCTGATTCTAGTAACTTCAGCTGCCAAAGCTGCTGTTGAGTGAACACTTGGAAGTTCAGCTCAGGAATTGAAAGGAGGAATGTACTAATGTACTCTTTAGTTTAAAAAAAATAACAATCACCCCAAGGGTGACAATATTAGGGATGAAAGATAAGTTTTGTTAATGTAACTCCTTTTCCATAAAAGGGTGAAGACATTCTTCGCTTCCTTTTTCAGATGACACACGGTGTACTCCGGGACATGGGAATCATTTGGGGACAAAAGGAAAAATATCCCCCAACTTTCTGCTTCTGTTTAATGGTGTCTTTCAAGAACAAAGACAAAGGGGCGCCTGCGTGGCTCAGTTGGTTACGTGTCCAACTCTGGATTTTGGCTCAGGTCATGATCTCAGGGTCGTGAGATGGAACCCACATGCTGGGCTCCATGCTCAGCGCAGAGTCGGCTTGAGATTCTCTCTCCCTCTCCCTCTGCCTCTCCCTCTCCCTCTGCTTGTGTGCTCTCTCTCTAAAATAAATAAGTAAATCTTAAAAAAAAAAAAAGAACAAAGACATAAACAAACATGAAGAGGATAATGAGCCCAGCTATCTATCTCTCTAAGGAAGAGAGCTTTAGGAACTGGACCTTCTACACCCATTACATTCTACACATCACCGAGCACGGCAGTAAAGCACATCAAGCATTAAAGCCAGGCAACACACATGGACTTCACAGCCATGAAGGGTGTTACTATGCAGTCACTGAATGTTGGGTGGGTGAATCCAGGGTCTGACACTCAGGAGCTGCTGGATGAGTGGATGACTAAATAAATAATAAAAACTAATACATGTGTCGACTTTCTAGTACTTGTCAGGCACTGGGCCAGGACTTTCTACGCATGATCTCATCTGATTCTCACAGCAACCCTACATGGTCAAGGTAATGATCCCCACTTTTAGATAAGGAACCTGGAGCTTAGCGAGGTGAGGTGACCGGCCCGAATCACCCAGCTCAGAGTGACATATCTCTGGCACTCTGACTCCAGAACTTGACACAGCTTCACGCGGGGGCCACAGAGAAATCATGAAAGTCAGAGAAGCCTGGGGAGAGTGAGCAGCTGAAAATCTAAAGAAGTCATTTTAAAATAATTACTAAGTATTTCACACACACACAAATTGTTAGAAAGTTTAAATCTCCATTTCCACGGAATAATGAGAACCCTCAACACCAACTGTGGTAGGAAAGGAAACAGCCCCCAAAGATGTCCACATCGTAATCCCCAGAGCCTGTGACTAGGTTACGCCACATGACAAAGGGGAATTAAGCCAGTGGATGGATTTAAGAAGGCTCATCGGCTGTCCCTAAAATAGGGAGGTTATCCTGGATTATTCTCCTGGATATTATCCTGGATTATGACGGATGGGCCCGACGTGATCACAGGGGTCCTTGCACGTGACAGAAGGAGGAGTTGGTATCACAGGGATTCGATATAAGAAAAGACTCAACCGTCTGCTGGCTTTGAACACAGAGGAAGGGGCCATGGGCCAAAGAATGAGGACAGCGTCTGACAAGTCGGAAAAGGTAAGAACATGGCACCTCCTCCAGCGTCCCCAGAAAGAAACACAGCCTTTCTGACACCTGATTTAATACGTAAGACCCATTTCAGGTTTCTCACCTCCAGAGCTGTAACATAATAAATGTGTTAAGCCAAGAAGCTTGTGGTGATTTGTTACAGCAACAATAGGAAACTAACCCACTGATGGAAGTTTACTGGGATTGGCACTACACTAGGGAAAACACCTTCCCATTATCCAATCAAGTTGAAGCTCGTCCCCTCCAACCCAGTGATTCCTCTCCTAGTGAAACCCTAGAGAAACTCTACTCATGTGCAGTAGAGGATTACTCACAGCAAAAAGCAAAACAAAACAAACAAACAACAACAAGAAATAACCCAAAGGACCATCAATAGCTGGAAAATTAAACTCATGTGCTCATATAATGGGATACCATAAAGCTCACAGAAGTGGATGTCGAGGAATGAATGAAATACAATCCATGTTTCAAAACAGATGAATCTTAGGAACAGAATGAGAAAAAGAGTAAGTCGCAGAAAAATACATTCAGTATGATTACAGTTATATGAAGGCCAAAACAGGCTAAAAGTAAACATTATGTTGTTTACAGTTAAAGACTCATATGGTGAAACCATAAAGCAAAGCAAAGGAATGACTGACAGAAAATTCAGGCGCTTACCCTCTGGAGGGAAGGGAGGGGGACTGGATCAGATAGGGGATAAGGTCTTAGTCATGTTCTTTTTTTGTTTTTTTAGTCTGACACAGGTATTCATTTTATTATGAAATTGCACACACGTTATATACACAGTTCTTTGCTTTTTCATTAAAAAAAAAAAATGAAACCAATATGTCAGACTTCACCTACCCTAATGACAAAAGGGGAAGTGAGCAGGCACACCCACCCACTCCCCAAGGTAACAAGTCATCCTATTACTGATTCAGCAGAAGCCAGGTTCATTTAAAAAAAATAAAAACACTTAGGAATATATCTAATAAAAGTGTAAGACTTGTACACTGAAAATTCGAGAACGTTGCAGAGGGAAATTAAAGAAGATTCAAATGAATGAGAGACACCTCATATTCGTGGATCAGAAAACTTAATACTATTAAAATTAAAAAAATATGTATCAGCAGGCTTTTTTGCAGAGGTGGACAAGATGATCCTAAAACGTATAGGAAATTGCAAAAATCCCAGAATAGCCAAAAGTAGTTTTGAAAAAGTTGAAGGACTTTCACTTCCTTTCGTATACTGAATGTATTATATACTGTATTCCTAAAATAAAGTAAGCTAGAGAAAAGAAAACATTACTAAGAAAATTATAAGGAAAATATATTTACAGTATTGTACTGTATTTACTGAAAAAGATCTGCATATAAGTGGACCTGCACAATTCAAACCCATGTTGTTCAAGGGTCACCTGTACATTGGGGAAAGGACAGTCTTTTCAACAAATGGTGCTGGGACCATTTGGAAATCCACATAAAAAGATGAACTTGGGTCTTCATTTCACACCATTTACAAAAATTAAACCAAAATACATCACAGACTTAAGTGTAAGGGCTAATCCAATAAGACTTTGGAAGATAACTGAGAAAATCTTCAGGACCTTGAGTTATAACTGCCAAAGATGTTGAAGATACGACACTAAAAGCATGGTTTATAAAAGAAAAATATTAATACACTGGACATCAGCAAAATTAAAAACCTGAATGCTTCAAAAGACACCATTAAGAAAATGAAAAGACAAGTAACAGAGCAAGAGAAAACATTTGCAAAACACGTAACGAGAGAACTTGTATCTAGAATGTGCAGAGAATTAGAGTACTGCAATATGACAATCAACCCAATCCAAAACAGATTTTGAACAACATTTCACCTAAGGTACACAAATGGCTAAAAAGCACATACGATGCTCAATATCATTAGGTATTAGGGAAATGTCAGTTAAAACCATAAGACACCAATTCACAGCTAGACGGACAGTAACAAGTGTTGGCGAGGACGTTGAGAATCAGGAACCTCCTCCATTCACTGCTTGTGGGAATGTAAAATGGTGCAGCCATTTTGGGAAGCAATTTTAACAGCTTCTTAAAAGGCTAAACATACAGTTACCATAAGACCCAGCAATTCTATTCTTTCTGCCCAAGAGAAACAACATTTATCCGAAGATTTACAGAAAAATGTTCTTAGCAACATTATTCATAATAGGCAAAAAATGTAAACAACCCAAATGTCCATCAATTGGTAAATGGACAGATAAAATGTGGTCCATACATACTATTTAATATTCCTTGCCAATAAAAAGGAACAAAGTACTGACACACTACAACACAGATAAACTTCAAAAACATTATATTAACAGAAACAAAAGACTACGCGCCAAATGGCTCCATTTATGTGAAATGTTCAGAAATGGCAAATTAGAGATGGAAGGCATATTTTTAGTGGTTGTCTGGCACTGGGGGTGGGGGCTGCAAAGGGGCTGGAAGGATCTAACTGGGTAGACGGATGTGTTCTAAAACCGATTTACGGCGCTGTTTGCCCAATTTGGTAAATTTACTAAGAAATCATTGAGTTGTATACTTGAAATGGGCGAATTACATAAGCCATGTAAAATATGCTTCAGTAAGGCTATATATTTTAGAAAAAGCAGGTTCAGCATGTCCTGTGTTGGCGCTCTCCTCCACTATCTGGACTCCTCACCACCTTGACAGGCACAAGCTTTTATCTCCATGTTGAAAATGGGGACAAACTCGGGAAGGGCTCAGAGAATCCAACATGGGTCTCCTGACCCCGACCATGCCTTGTGCCCTTTTCCCACAAGCAGCACTCTCAAAGTCAGGTCATGGCTCTCCCCTGGGTCCGTGGAGGTACTTGAGGTAGCCTCTAACTCTGTGACCTCAAAGGGGTTCTTTGTTAAGACTCAATTCTACTCACTGGCACTCAAAACAAGTAAGAGTAGGGTTAAACCAAGTCAAATACTTCAGAAACAGTGTTAAAGGCCACTTGAATTACTTCCCTGGAACATATCTGGCCCATATGTATTTCCTCCTTAAAATGAGAAAAGCCTAGGAGGCAGCATGGGAAGGGGGTATTGAGCAAGACCACAAAGGAGGCAAAGCCCTCTGGACTACAGAACAGACAGGGCTGTGAGTCAGCTTGCTCACAGCTGGCGCTAGGCGTTCGGACGGGCGTGCGGAAGCATCCCGAGATCCCCTGATGTCAGCCACTGTCCGACACTGTCTTCTCCTGCTGCCTTCACCTCAGGCCCACTGTCAGCTAAATGAGGACAACCACCTGGGACCCAAGCTTAAATTCAATCGCCACACTCCAGTCATGGTCACCGTAAGGGGGCCCACTTTCCAGCCAGGTAAGGATCTGAGAAGGGGGCCTCACGGTCTGCTCATGGATACACACATATTATCACTTCCTGGTGCATGCTGAGCGCGGTGAGGTGAGGCAGGGGTTCTCTGTAGAGTTGCCTCACTGAGGCCACCACAATTCAAATGTTCCACAGGAGACTCAAAGGTTTAAAGTGAGATGGGGCAGGGGAGAGAGAGACAGAAAGCAGTGGTTGCGTGGGGCTGGGAGGGGAGCAGGCACTGACTGCAAATAGGCACTAGGGAACTTCCTAGAATGATGGAAGTATCCTAAAACTGGACTGTGGCAATGCTTGCAGAACAGCAAAAATTTGCTCAAACTCATAGAGTTTGATACAGTTACCACAGGTGAATTGTAGGACATGTGAATGGATGCCCCCATAAAGCTGTTTTTAAAAAGTGATGATTGCACACACTTTTTAGAAATCTATAAAATGAAAGGTGGTCTTTCTGAAATGTGATGGCTCTGCCACTTGGCTCTCCATCACATCTCTTCCTCCCAATTCTAACAAATGCGGGTTCTAGGCTTCTCCCTCTCCACCTCAACTGAAACCCGCTTATCTGCCTCCGGGCCCCCAGGACAATGTTCTTAAAGCTTCCAGAAGGAGGTGGCAGCCCCTTTAACTCCAGACCAGGCGGGGTGGGGGGCCATCAGCATCCTGCAGCTCCCACCCCTGCCAACACACGGCAAACAACCTTCTCCTTGGGAACCCTACTGCTAGCCACTGCCTCAAACCCTCCCAACCCCCAGCCTCCCGGTGACCCCTGGCTCACATGTGCTGCTCCTCCCCATTCCTGTCACCCCCAAAGACCCCGTGTGACAGTGAACTTCACCAGCCATCTACTTCAGCAGCCGCCCCTGCTGCTCCACCTGAGCTCTTCCTCCACCACATGCTCAGACCTCTGTCCTGAAAGCAACCCTCTGGGGCACCTGGGTGGCTCAGTCGTTAAGCGTCTGCCTTCCGCTCAGGTCCTGATCCCAGGGTCCTGGGATCGAGCCCCGCATCGGGATCCCTGCTCCCCCAGCAGGAAGCCTGCTTCTCCCTCTCCCATTCCCTCTGCTTGGGTTCCCTCTCTCCTTGTCTCTGTCAAATAAATAAATAAAATCTTAAAAAAAAAAAAAAGAATTCTGAAAGTAACCCTCCTCCAACCCCAGTTCCTCCTCTGGCAGCCTGGGGACAAGCCTGTCCCCAGATGCTGCTTGCACTTTGGGACCTCTCCCTCTCTCCTCTGCCCTGGCCACTGCAGGAAGCTGCCCTCCCAAGGCCTTGCCCCGCACCACCTCCCCCCCACCCCAGGACACTGGATGCAAAGCGTCCACCAGCCGCACCTCAGACCAACCCTCCTCGCAGTCATCCAGTAATCCCAGCCAAAGATGGAAAACAGAGAAACCCAATTTGATCAAGACAAAACATGATTTAAATAACCATCCTGGGGCTCCTGGGTGGCTCAGTAAATTAAGTGTCTGACTCCTGCTTTCCACTCAGGTCATGATCTCAGGGTCCTGGGATCAAGCCCCGTGGCAGGCTCCACGCTCAGCTGGGAGTCAGCTTGAGATTCTCTCTCCTCACCCTCTGCCCCTCCCCCTACTCAGGCACGCAGGCAGGCACACGTGCACGCTCGCTCTCTGTCTCAAATAAATCAATCTTAAAAATCAACAAATAAATAACCATCATCAAGCATAGAACAAAGTACTCAGCAGCGATTTAAATTGTGCCTGGTGGGGACACCTGGGTGGCTCAGTCGGTTAAACACCTGCCTTCAGCTCGGGCCGTGATCCCAGGGTCCTGGGATCGAGTCCCGCATCAGGCTCCCTGCTCAGTGGGGAGCCTGCTCCTCCCTCTGCCTGCTGCTCCCCATTTGTGCCCGTCCATCTCCCTCTCACAAATAAATAGAATGTTAAAACAACAAACAACAAATTGAAAAGCCCAAACATTAAAAAAAATAAATTAAAATAAATTAATTGTGCCCAGTGTACCTGTCCTCCCTAAACAAAAGAAATTTGTGATAATGAGTGATGTTAATCCAAGGAAAAGGTAAACCTCCATAAAAATCTAAGTTTATAAGTCTGTATAGGTTCTACTAGGAAAGTTCTTTCCGATGTTCTTTTAATGATCAGCCTCCAAAGTCAAGAAAGCAAAGGCTGGCAGCAGCTGAGAATGGAAGCAGTCAGCAGTGCCACGGGCTGAGGTCAGCAATGACTCAGCGCATGCAGTTCCACCACACGGAGGCTAGGATGAGTATTTCACTCTTATTCCAGGATGGGTATTTCACTCTAGGGCCACTTCTTTTGCCTTGCTTCCCTTCAATTGATTTTGATATTATTTCACCCAGGGAAACTAGCAAAACTTCAAAAAAGAAAAAAAAAAGGTTTTCTGGGAGCAAAGGGTAACTGGAGTCCTATATTTAATAATGTTTAATCAATAAATAATATTCTTTTAAAGTCGGTTGTGTACAAACCAACACAGCTGCTGACTCAGCCTGTTCACTCTCGGTGACCTGTATTTAATGCCTTATCTTCTGAACTCGTGGTTAGAGAGGGAGGAGAAAATCGAGAGATGATCAGCTATATACTCAGGTTGCTCCTCTGTAAATGGGTCAGGTCTGTGGTTAAGTATTAAACAGTAAAGGGACCATTTTGCCATGACAACTTTTCAATTAAGCCAAATTTCTTGTGCGGCTAACGTACAAGACCATTCATGAAATAGGTCATTCAACAATCATCACATTTTAGAGCTGGTAGCGAGTTCTTCTAAACCAACCCCCTACTTCAAACAGGTATGAAAACCACCAGCCAGGAGGGAAACACGCAAGGCAGCACTGTCACGCCTCCAGGTGCACAGACTCCAGGCCTGCGCTGTACCATACAGCAGCCTCCGGCCACACGTGGCAACTGCACACTTCAAGTGTGGCCAGTCCAAACTGAATGCATCATGAATGCAAATGCATGCCCGATCTTGATTTTTTTTTTTTAAGATTTTATTTATTTATTTGACAGAAAGAGAGCACAAGCAGGGGGAGTGGCAGGGAGAGGGAGAAGCAGACTCCCTGCTGAGCAGTGAACCCGATGCGGGACTCGATCCCAGGACCCTGGGAGGACCCCGGGATCGTGACCTGAGCCACCCAGGCGACCCCGATCTTGATGATTCAGTGAAAACAAAGACATAAAGTATCTCATTATTAACTCTGTATTGATTACAGTGAAATGATGATAGCTTGCCTATACTGGGATAAATAAGACACAGCAAAGTTAATTTCATCTGATACTTTTTACTTTAAAAAAAAAAAAATGTGGCTAGGGGGCGCCTGGGCAGCTCAGTCGGTTAAGGGTAAGACTCTTGATTTTGGCTCAGGTCATGATCTCAGAGTCGGGGGACTGAGCCCTGCACTGGGCTCAATACTTAGTAGGGAGTCTGCCTGGGATTCTCCCTCTCCTTTTCCCTCTGCCCCTCCCCACTGGGCGGGCTGTCTCTCTAAATAATAAATCCTTAAGAAACAGAAACAAAGATGCCTCATGTGATGCTTGTACCAGAGCCCTGGGCCTCAGGCCTGTCTGCACCGAGCTTGCTGTGTGGCCTGGGGCCAGTGTCCTCCTGTATTTACGGCTCAGTTTCCTTACCTGCAAAATGAAGGCGTTAGACCAGTAGGTCTCAACTGGGGACATGTGACAAAGGCTGGAGACATTTCTGGTTGTTACAGTGGACAGGTGATGCTCCAGGTATCTAGTACATGGAGGTCAGGGATGCTGCCAAACATCCTACTTCGCACAGGGCAGCCCCATAACAAAGAATACCTGGCCCCAAATGTCAATAGCGCCAAGGCTGAGAAACCCTGTGTGAGACTGAGGTGACTCCAGAGGGCCATTTTGAGGAACCGCCAAACTGTTTTTCAAAATGGCTGTACCATTTTATGATGCCCGCATTTCTCCACATCCCTGCCCGCACACATACTTTTGCCAGCCTTCAGGAGCGTGAATGGCTTTTTACAAAGTCTGTTCTACAGACAATGCCCTGGATTGTTTACAGAATACCAGGGTCACAAAGAAAACCATTAGCCACTGTCTTACCTGGTGCCTATAATTGTACCAGCCGTTTGAACCCGCGACAATCACCACCCAGTGCTTGCCCCCATCCTCGGGATCATCTACAGGAACAGCACCGATGCCCAGGACCACGCTGAGCAACACGGCTACTTCCCAAATCATTCTGTGCCTCCGAGTTCAGTGGCAGAAATCTGGGAAGAAAAAAGCAGAGTCAAGCAAAAAAGGAATGACAAAAACAGAAGAATACTGTAGGCCCCTAAGATTATATCACAGCCCATGGGTCAAAACGATAAGACCATTTAGTTATCAGATGGAACAGCCTAAGGATAAAAATGATGACAGAGCAGAATTTTACCTTTGGCTCTGCAGCCCCTTTCCCTAGGGGGAGAAGAATCGACCCAGCTCTCTCTCACTACAGGTTAAAGTTAAGGGTATAAACCAAAGAATAGTGGGAACACTCTTTGGGCAACCTTAAAAGGTTTTAACAAGTTTTGGTCACAACTTGGAATACAGCAGATAAAACTCACCAACAAAATTCACCGTATTGGAAAAATGTCTACCACATTGTATGAAATGTTTGCAAGAAAAGAACATACATGTAATGTGTGCGTACAAAATGTGGAAGGCAGACATAAAAATTTAACAGTAGTTACTGACTGGTGGTAGGTGGAATTCAGGATGATTTTCTTCCTATTTCTTTTTACTACCATTAACAGATATTACTTATGCAATAAAGTGTATAAAAATTCAATGTGTGTCCAATATAAATACTGAGGGGCGATTCCTAAGATGTAAGCGAGTTATCTGGATAAGCTATAGGCAAAGAGCAGCAGCCCAAGTTAATGTCTTTGCACATTTATAACCCATTTACACGTAGTTAATACAGCAGGCAGAGCACAAGTTTTAGTCCTTGTTTTACAGGAAGGGGAGGTTAAAGCAAGAGAAGCTAACTTGTCCAATACCCATGGTTAGCCAGCTCTGGCCAGAGACCAAAACCCATGCCTTCTCAGTTCCCGGCTCGGTCTTTCTGCTGCATGGTCCTACACTGAGACTTCATTCCTGATGAAGCACATGCCCAATTGTATACTCCGCTGCCCAAACGTCCCAAGTTTTAAAGCACAAAGGCAGTACTCAGGCCGCGCCCTGGCCTCCTTGCATCGCTCACATCAGACCCTGCCCCGCAACCTGAATACGTTATTCTAAAAAAAACAGCCTTCTTGTGACAGACGCTAGGCCTGTCACATTAAGAGGAAAAACAGTCTCTGAGATGTAGGGACTCAGCAGAACAAAGTCCACGAGGCTGACCTCAGACTCTTCTGTCATCTGTCAAACGGTGCTCACTCACTCACTGGCTTATTCATTCACACAGCCAGCCAGAGGCTCCTGCCGGAAAACACACTGGATGCTCTGAACGCAGTAGGGACAGGACAAATCCTCTGTCCTCAGGGGGCACGCAGCCAGCTAAGGGATGAAACTCCTGTAAGCTTAAGAAACCATCCTTAGCATCCTGTGCCTAACACTGTGCTCAAACTCAAAATGGACTGAGCAGTGGGTTTCCCCCCAAAGGCGAGGGAACAGAAAGCCCTGAATCTGATAAAAGTTTAAAAACCTAAAAGCGCCTTAGGTTAGTGCTTCTCCAAACCGACTGTGACCTCCATCCTCTGGGGATGCAATTCTGATCCAGTAGGCCTGGGCTGGGCCTGAGACTCTGCATTTCCAACAGGCTACAGGCAATGCCCAGGACTCAACTTTGATGTAGCAGGGCTCTCCATTAACCTTGGTGGGCTCTTGTTCACCTCTGGTCTGAAGCCCCACGGGCCAACACTACTCCTTACCCGCCACCTGCCTCCGATACCCCCTTTAGGAAATTTTTTTTTTTATTTTTATTTTAAGTAGGCTCCACGCCCAATGTGGGGCTTGAACTCATGACCCTGAGATCAAGAGTCACATGCTCCACTGACTGAGCCGGCCAGGTGCCCCACCCAGGAACTCAATTCTTACTGTATAATGTATATCCACATTTCTTTGGCGTCACTGCAAAACTGCCCATGGATGAACAGGTACTACAATAAGGTACCCTAGGTTTATTCTTAAGCTTATTCTGAAATGGCCATGCTTTTTGTTTGTTGTGTTTTGTTTTTTAGTACAGTACAGGACGGATGAGGTCAGGGAACAGATGAAGGCAGTGGATTGCCCAGGCCACCCCGGTGCCAGAACCAGCTGGCCTTAACGTGTTAACATGCACCTGAGGACGCTCTCCCAAGTCCTCTTGACATGACCGGGGCTCACCGTAGGGCTGGGAGGTAATAGCAGGGGCGACAGTGACTACAGAGGGGACCCCCCCCCACCGCCCCACGCAGCAGCTCTTTGATTCTGAGCTCACCCGGCGGCCTCCTGACTGCACTTGAACCTCCCTGGGAAGCCTTCCCCTGGGGCAGCAGTTGGCACACTTCTTCTCTAAAGGGCTGGACAGTAAATAGTTTACCCTGCAGATCACACCACCTCCCTTATGACTGTTCGGCTCTGCCCCTGTACTGTGAAAGCAGCCAGAGACCATAAGTATACCAGTGGGTGGGGAGTTGTTCCAATAAAGTCAGGACAGGTGGGTCTCTTTGGCCCGCCCTAGGGCGTGAGGCTACGCCCTCAGCCCACGTGACCAGTATACAGCCTGGCTGGCTCTTATCTTCCAGCAGCAATCATTATACGGGCTCCCTGGTTTACACACCAGTCTCTGAGTTTGGTTCATGTGACTGAATCATGAAGAGGCTCCTTCCTGGGGAGGCCCTGCCATGTGACTTTACCCCTTCCTACTTAGGGACAAAAAGAATACATAAAACACCAGAATCACAAAGCTGGCCTGACCGTGAACCACGGAAAGGACACCACCAGCCTAACTGCCTAAATTGGCAAACACCACAGCAGGTACTGAAAAAGCACCGCCAGGTTATTTTTACAAATTCAAATTCATCTGTCATTCTTCTACTAATATGCTAACATGCTACCCCTCAGTAAGGAAATGTGCCTATTAAAACACAAATGATACTTTCACAGTTAACGTTTGGCAATGGTTCCTGTCTATCACCTTTTTTGTTTCTTATAAACACAGAGTACGGTTCCTTGAACAGAATGGCAAGCAAAAAGCCTCACAGTATGACACTGATTGGAAAATGTCACTTAAAAAACACGTATGTCAAGGGGTGCCTGGGGGGCTCAGTTAAGCATCCAACTCCTGATCTCAGTTCAGGTCTTGATCTCGTGAGTTCGAGCCCCGTGTTGGGCTCCACGCTGGGTGTGAAGCCCACTCAAAATAAATGAAATTTAAAAAACACATATGTTAATACCATTTGGGGAAACATAGTGGGGCTTGGGGTGAAGATGAGATGTGAAAGTAATACAATCTTTCCACTACCCTCAGCAAGAACATGTCTTAAAGCAAGCAGCCTCACCCAGCCATTTCCTGATCAGCAGTATTCTTGGCAAAGTCAAAGCCTCAAAACAAAAATCACAATCTTGCAACATAACATACTATGATTCTTGTTCTATCAAAGAGAAAAGTTCAGGAAGACAAAGTAAGTGATCCCTGCTGAGCTAGCTCTTCAGGATGGCTGCTTCTGCAGCCTCCCCACCCATCCATCCAACGTCCAACACACACAGCCTGAGCACCCACTAGGTGCTCCCAGGCACCGAACAGGGAACCAAATGACAGAACCCTTCACTGAGCTGACATTCCAGCGGGAAGAGACACACAATTTAAATCCACACATTGTCAGAGGGGATGAGTGTTAAGGAAAAATATAATGCAGGAGGAGTGGGAGGCATCATTTTTCAAAATGGAAAGACTTGAAGGAGGCAAGGAAGTCTACCCACTTCTAACAGCAAAATGCTGGAAGCAATATACATGGTCATCTGGACAGAGGGCTGTCTAGCTAAATCAGTCACGGTACACCCTTATGATGGGACCCTGTGGAGCCTTTAAGAAGAGCAAGGTGGATCTCGATGTGCCGAGAGTGGAAAGATCTCCAAGGGGGCTGTAAAGAATGTATGCAGAGTCTGCTAACCATTTGTGGGGAGAAAATGACAGACAGGTGTGACCCTAACCAGGGGAGAAAAGGTGTCCCCCACAACGACACGTGTTGATATGCTGCACGGGGCGGCAGAGTGGGCTTCCGCAATAAGCCATGCAATGTACGCTTCACACAATCCTCACAGAAGCCTGTAAGCCAGCCTCATCGCTCTGTTCACGGAGCTGAGAAAAAAGAGGCTGGGCAGAGAGAAACGTGCTGGTAACTGCTGGGGCTGACACACAGATCTGCTCCAGAGACTGCTTTTTCTACTACACCCCCTCGCTTGTCACAAAGAGTTGTTCATGTGAAGGTCTGCGAGACCGGGTAACCAAAAGTGGGCACACAACATGCCCCCCTCAGGGCCCAAACCCTTCCTCCAGCAGGTCACCACCCACCCTCCAACCAGGCTCTTTGCCACCCTACTATTTTAAGGCACTTGTGGGCAATGTGTATAAAGAGTTCTCCTCTTAGAAGAGCCCTTCAAAGGAAAACCTGAACCACACAAGCCAAGATCAACGGCCAACCCTTTACGAATGAATTTTGCCAGCCTCCAATGACAAGTCCTCCGCTGTTGCCATTGGTCCTGCATCCCTCTCAGGCTACAGGGCTACACAAGGTCAGTAATTCCATTAAAGGACTCCATTTGACTTAAAGAAGTATGCTAGCAAGTGAGGTTCAATTCATTTGAGAGGTTTGGGACAGAATGCCCATTCTAGATAAACTGTCACCAGCAATACAAGTAATGAGGCCCCAATCACAGGACTATCAAAGTCAAGTTCAAACCAAGGTCTGACACCAAAGCCTATATTTTAACTACCCTCAGGTGTGAACTCTCACTGCCAGTCCTGATTTGCTACTGGCTCTGGGTTGGAAACAGGGAATCATCAAAGCCGAGCAAAGCAGCTAACTAGACAATGACATCTGAAGACAGCCTTCCAAACCTGAAGGTCTTTGATCCTGCTCCTTACTCTCCAGGGGCTTACAATAAGATCAACGTGAGTGGACCCTGACTGACCACATGCAAGAGAGCCAAGGAGAGATGAGAAGGACCCCTCCTTGACCGAACTGAGTCAAGCTCCTCTGAGCCCCCATCTCAAGTAGGTCTTGGCCTGCTAAGTTCAGTTTACCAAGAATCCCACGAGAATAGCCCACCTTTGATACCTAATCAAGGTCCCTTGTAATTTTCCATCCACTGACCCTCTCAGCCTGCCCATAAATCCCAACTATCCTTGCTGTATTTGGAGTTGAACTCAGACCTACACTGAAGTATCTGTCCCTAATGTAATTGCTGGAATAAAACCTGTCTTGCTGTTTTTAACAAGTGTTTAGTGTTTAGTGCAATTTCTCTAACACAGGACACACAGCTACTAAGTCAGGGGAGACCCTTCCCTCTCTGGGCCTTAATTGTCTGTGCAATGAGATGGTAGAACTGAATTATTAAGGGCAGATTCAGTTCTCAAACCTTTTAACTTCCTGTTTTACAAGTGAGATTAACACAAAATCCAGGGGCACCTGGGTGGTTCAGTCAGTTAAGTGTTTGCCTTCGGCTCAGGTCATGATCCCAGGGTCCTGGGATGGAATCCCACGTCCAGGTCCCTGCTCAGCGGGGAGTCTGCTTCTCTCTCTACCCCCCCGCCCATGCGCACTCTCTTTCTCACAAAAATAAATTTTAAAAATTAAAAAAAAAAGGAAAAACAAAATAAATAAAACAAAATCCAACTAGCTCTTATCTCAAATGAAAACTATTTTATTAAGGTTAATCAATATTTTTCCTACAGGGAAAATTTCTGATTCAGGGGCAAACTGGATTCTAGATTAGAGCATGGCCTTTAAGGTTACCTAATTCTGACTCTATGCAATTTTTTTCTTTACATCTCTGTAAACTGGGTAACCGCAATGCAAACAATTCTTACCTAAAGACATACAAATGAATTCCATAAAGTGGAGGCTGGGTTGATTTCCGGTTGTAGAAAGACGCCAGTTTTGCCTGCCATTTGCCCATTCATTTCATTATTTCTGACCCTGGAGTCTCCTTTGATCTGGCTGCAACCATCACACTACATTTCCTCATTATAAGTTAAATGTAATCTTTAGTACTTGCTCACTTTTATACCTGTATCGAGTGATGACTTTACCTTTTTTAAAAATTATCTTTTGGGGTGCCTGGGTGGCTCAATTAAGCACTGACTCTTAGTTTCAACTCAAGTCATGATCTCATGGATCATGGGATTAAGCCCCCCGGGGGGGGGGGGTTGGGCTCCACACTCAGGGGGAGTCTGCTTGAAGAGTCTCTCCTCTGCCCCTCCCCCTCACTCTTTCTCAAATAAATAAATAAATCTTTTTACAATTGTTTTTTTTTTTTTTTTTTAAGATTTTGTTTATTTGACAGAGAGAGACACAGCGAGAGAGGGAACACAAGCAGGGGGAGTGGGAGAGGGAGAAGCAGGCTTCCCCGCGGAGCAGGGAGCCCGATGCGGGGCTCGATCCCAGGACCCTGGGATCATGACCTGAGCCGAAGGCAGACGCTTAACGACTGAGCCACCCAGGCGCCCCTACAATTGTTTTTAACATTACAAAAAGCATAAGTAACTAAATCATATTTCCAAACAGACACAATCAATAAACACTTTTAAAATCTCCTAATGGTTAGAAGAATTTTGGAATCTAGCAAAGTAAAATTTGCCCAGTGGTAAACAGTTTTTCCACATTTTTATTTTCACAGTTATCTGACACTTGAATCCCTTTTACCACAATTACTATTTTTGAAATCTGGTTTCAATGTAGTTTGTAATATTTTCCCCCAATGACTGAATGACTTTTCTAGCTAGATGTGAATTAAGCTAAATTTTGTTATAAGTTATAGTCAAGAAATTGAAAGGTAAACATTATAGAAATGTACTAAGTACAATGTAAAACACCTGTTACCTCTCATCAAGCCCATGAACTGTTAATATTTTGCAAATCTGAGAACTCTCTCCCCATAAAACAAATACAATATTAGAGGAAATTCCTTCCCATGCCCCATCCCATTCTCCCCACCACCAGAAGATAACCATGATCATAAGTTAACATTTCTTTTTCTTTCTTTCTTCTTTTTTTTGTGCAAAAAGGTGATTTTATTAAAGCATGGGGACAGGACCCATGGGCAGAAAGAGCTGCATAAGTTAGCATTTCTTTTCATTCACTTTATTACACTTTTAAAACATATATGTCCACTTTGTAAACATTCCCTTCTAAGGGACATTTAGGCGGTTTCAAAAATTTATCATTATAGGGCGCCTGGGTGGCTCAGATGGTTAAGCGTCTGCCTTCAGCTCAGGTCATGATCCCAGGGTCCTGGGATCGAGTCCCGCATCGGGCTCCCTGCTCCTTGGGAGCCTGCTTCTCCCTCTGCCTCTCTCTCTCTCTCTCTCTCTCTCTCTGTCTCTCATGAATAAATAAATAAAATCTTTAAAAAAAAATTAAAAAAAATTTATCATTATAAATAACGTTGCAGTAAACACCCTAATACTCCTCTCCTTGCAAACAAATGTCTCTGTTTCTCTAGGTTACTTTCTAGAAGTGGAACCACTTGATCTTAAGATATACACACTCATTGTTTTAAAAGATTTTATTTGACAGAGAGAGAGCTCAAGCAGCGGGAGCGGCAGGCAGAGGGAGAGGGAGAAGCAGGCTCCCCGCTGAGCAGGGAGCCTGATGTGGGGCTGGATCCCAGGACCCTGGGATCATGACCTGAGCCAAAGGCAGAAGCTTAATCGACTGAGCCACCCAGTTGCCCCCAATGGTACCCTTAATCTTTAAGGACATCAAGTGTCCTTGGGATTTGATCTTGTAGGCAGCATATTGAACGCAAAGGGAGGACAAAATCTAAATCTCTCACAGCAGCACAGAAGGCCCTGCAAGATGTACCACTCTATTCTTATGAAACAGAGCTCATGAAATTCACCACCCACATGAAATCCCTTGTTCCAACCAGGCTCCAAGACCGTGGTCCAAAATCGTGGCTCTTTCCATGCCTTCACCATGCTGTTTTCCAGGTGAAACATTCTTCCTTCATCACACTAGCTCCTCCGATCCCTCAAACTCCATTGAGGCGCTTCTCTGCAAAGTTCTACCTCTTCCCACAAATAAGGATTAGATGCTTCCAACAGGGTTAGATGCTGCCCCTGTGCAAACCTGTAACTGAAATGATTCTCTATTGACTGCCTCTCCCCTTTACAAAAAAAACCCAGCTCAATGAGTAAGGCTCAATGAACGTTTGCTAACGAATGGAACCCTACAGTAAAAAAGCTGAGCTCCTCCACTCTCTACCTACCACAGGGCAAATCTCAAACTCTGGGCATTTATTTTCATCTATAAAACGAAGCCCATGATACAAAGTTCCTTCTTCCAGGCCCCAGATTCTACAATTCTTGGCATTCTACAATTCCCATGTACATATAACCTCCCCTCTAATAGTTTAGGGGCAGGGGACCTAATCAAATTTCACTTTCACGCTTGAAGTGAATCACCCTATGAGTCCCACCAGCTCAAGCCTCTGAGAACTAGAGCATCCCTAACTTCTCAGAAGGGATGTTTTTACACGTTTGGGTATTTCGGCTGTTGTAGTCACCTGCTTTTCCCCTTGGCTACGGAGAACTGGGTGGAAATGGGTGCAATCCTCCACATTACAAGCACCTAGAGCCTAAACTGCTCCTAGGCTGTGAAGGTTGGAACCAAGCGCCGGACCCTGCCCCGCACGCCCCCGGCGGTGGGACCTTAGCCAATTCCCTCTCCCCGCCCCCGTTTCCCCCTGAGCTTGGAGGAAGCGCCTGGGCTTCCAGCCCGAGTTCGCGCCAATGGAAGAGAGCCGCCAGCAGCCCACGACCACCCCTCGGGAGGGCGGGCTGAGAGGTCGCAGCATTTCCCTTGGGATTCACCGTTTCCCGAAATGCTCTTCCGCAGGGTGAGAAGCGGATTACTCAGGGCCGCGGGAGCCGAAAATCCCGCGGGTGAGGCCCAGAGCCGCGGCGCACAGGCAGCCCTGGGCCGGGACGTGGGGCCTGGCCCGGATCCCCGGCTGGGGCTCGCGGTTACCTGTGGCAGAAGACCGCGGCGGTGGCGCGGGGCGGCAGGACCGTGGGAATTCCTCGCGACGCGCAGCCTCAGACGCGACACCTGGGGACGCCCGCCCTGCAGTGATTGCGGAGCCTCACCCGGCTCCAGGCTTTAATGGCCTAGGGCGCTGCGTTGATTGGTGGAACTTCGGGGCGGGCGTCTGCAGAAGCCAATGGGAGAAGGAGCGAGGCGGGGCCGGCGAGCCAGAGGTCCTACAAGTCCCAGCATGCAAGAGCCGCGGCTTCTGGGCCCACAGCCCGCGGGTCCTGGGAGAACCTTGAGCGGTGAAGGGGGCCCGGGCTACGTGGGGCTTGCCTGGAAACGCAGCAGTTCCAGAAGTGTCCACCGAAGGATCAAAACTAGCGCGCGGGGCACTTTAACCCACTGGGTTTCCGAACTTGTCGCACTTTGGGATCATCTAGGGAAACAAAAATCCTGATGCCCCAGTGTCGGCCCAGACGTTGGTTGAGTTCCTTGTTCTGCACATGTTCTGGGTCTCGGAATCTTTAAGGGTCCCCCGGTGATCGAATGTGCAGGTCCATTTAATCCTCGAGACAACCTTATGAGAAATAGGCACTCTTATTTTGGTCCCTGCTTTACAGTTAGGACGACTGAGGGAGGTTCAGCCGTGGAAAGTAAATTAATCTTCTGAAGACTGCATTAGCTCTGAAGTGGCGGGGCCAGAACCCACACCCAGGCAGTCTGTCTAGCTCAGAATCTTGTCCTCTTCATCCCTAGGCAATGCTATTTTTCAAGTGTTTTTGGTATTATTATCTCACAGGGAAATGGGGAAACTTTATACGTACCTGTGCCGTGTGGTAGAGCACAGTAAATTGAACTGAGTGCCGTTGATTGCAGTCCTACCCAAGCACATCAAGTGTAAGATGTAAGGGCTGCATTCACAGGTTGTCTCACTTGATCTTCTTTTATAATCTTTTTTTTTTTTTTTTACAGTAAGTCAAGCGAGAGCATACTGCCCAGAGCCTGCTCCCTATTTTTGTAAATAAAGTCTGTGGGAATGCAGCCATGCCCACGGGTTTTGGTATTATCTCTGGCTGTTTTTACCAACAAGGTAGAGTTGAGTACTTATACAAGAGACAAGATTTTGGCCCACAAAATCGAAAATATTCACTGTCTGACCATTTACAGAAAAAGGTTGCCAACCCTGAGTTAAGTTCTCCACACTCTTAGCTGGGAAGTGACCGTAGTCTTCTTCAGACCCGTGTCTGTCCAAGTCCAAGGCGAAGTCTCATGACCAGTACACTTTCACAGTCTTCCTCAGTGGGGAGTGGTAGGAGTTCATTCAACCATTTATTCAAGAACACATTTAGTGGATGTCCCTTATGTGCCAAGTGCAGCTTATTATTGAGAGAAATTGGATTCTTTTTTTTTTTTTTAAGAGAGAGAGAGAAGAGAGAGAGCATGGGGGGGCAGTGTTGGAGGGGCAGAGGGAGAGAGAAAATCTCAAGCAGGCTCCACACTCAGTGCAGAGCCCCAAATGGGGCTCAGTCTCACAACCCTGAGATCATGACCTGAGCTGAAATCAAGAGTCGGACACTTAACTGACAAAGCCACCCAGGTGCCCCGAGAGAAATGGGAGTCTGTTCTTTCCCCTTGGGAATTCACTGTCTAGTAAGAGAGGAACAGGGTGTCCTTAACCACTCCCTCAATTCACCCAGAATAAATGGTGGCCTTTGGTTAGGTTTTCACAGGTGAAATGGAACAGAAGTGGTGGCCTGATGCCAGGCATGTTTAGGCAAATGAGGTCCAGGGACAGCCCCCTCAGCCTCCCTCAGCAGCACCGTGAGCTGAGAGCCGAGAGTATGGGACGAGAGAAGGGGGCTGAAAATTGAGGACCAGTGGGTGGCTGGGAGTTGGCAGGGAGTTCCCATGGTAATGGTCAGGAGAGCCTTAGAAGAGACTGCAAGGTGGCTAGCCTAGGCCAGCCACAAGGAGGAGGCTGAGATGAGAGGGGCCTGGAGGGAGAAGTGGGTGCACATGGTGGGTTCTGCCATCAAGCTACCTGGATTCTGATCCCAGCTCCAGCACATACAAGCTGTGGGACCTGAGCAAGTTACTTAATTTCTCAGTGCCTGGGTTTCCTCAACTGTAAAATAGAACAGCACCTACATCTCTCGGTAAATTGAAGGAAACACAGTGCTTAGCATCTAGTAAGTGCCGCATGAATAGCATCTCCCTGCTGGGCTAAGAGCATGATGAGAAAAGGAAGATAGGAATCTCTGACCTTGGGCACTGCCTGTGCTCTGAGACTACACACGGAATGGGATTGGTGGCATGGTGTGGGAAGGGCAGCACCAGTGGGAGGGCCAGGAGCCAAGGCACCAGAAAAAACCCCAGGGTGGCAGGAGGGTGGCAGGCTCCCTGTAAACATATAGGCATGAGGACACCCCCCCAAATGTCCCCAGTGAAATTCTTTTTTTTTTTTAAAGATTTTATTTATTTATTTGAGAGAGAGAATGAGATGGAGAGAGAGAGCATGAGATGGGGGAGGGTCCAAGGGAGAAGCAGACACCCTGCTGAGCAGGGAGCCCGATGCGGGACTCGATCCCGGGACTCCAGGATCATGACCTGAGCCGAAGGCAGTCGCTTAACCAACTGAGCCACCCAGGCGCCCCCCAGTGAAATTCTTACCAGGAAAGTCACAGTATGGGGCTCAGAGGTTAGTGAGGCTCAAGCCAGATAAAAATGTGTGATACCACAAGATGGTGGCAGATAACTCAGCCACCAGAGATAAGAGCACTGAGGAGCCATTTCAGATTCCGTCTTTGTCTATCTAATAGCGAGAGACTAAGTGAGAGGTTCAGATTATAAAGCAATAAGCGCTGGAGAGAGTAGGAAAAGAAATTGGTTAAGTTTAGAGCAGGTTTCTGCACCTCCAAGCAACACTTGGAGGCCGGGTAGTTCTTTGTTGCGTGAGGGAGGTTGGGGGGCTGTCCTGTACCTCGTAGGATGTCTAGCAGCATCAGCATCCCTGGGCAGCTACCCACCAGATGCCAGGAGCACCCTTCCCTCAAGTTCTGACAACCAAAAATGTCCCCAGACATTGCCAAAAGCCTCCTGGGGGAAGGAGGGGCAAAATCTGCATGCACACCCCGCCCCTTCCACCATAGTGAGAACCATTGGTTCTCAGGACTCAACATTCATTCAATCATTCATTCATTCTGTTTGATAATAATGGTCAAAGGCATGGACGCTCTCCAGACATCCTGGATTTCAACTCCATCTCTGACACTTCCTGGCTGTGGGGTCCTGGACAATCTCTTCACTTATCTGTGTTTCATAGGGTTGTTGTAAAGTTCAAACGAATTGATCCATAATGAACGAACTCAGAACAGATTCTCGTCAGGTGTCAGCTATTTCTTGAGTGCATGAGAAGTGCTAGGCACTAACTCGAGCCCTAAGGATCCCTACAGTCAACTGTCCCCACCACAGACTGACCTTTTGTATGAAAATATTTCAACTGAAGGGCACCTGGGTGGCTCAGCTGTTAAGCATCTGCCTTCAGCTCAGGTCGTGATCCCAGGGTCCTGGGATCGAGCCCCACGTCAGGCTCCCTGCTCGGCGGGAAGCCTGCTTCTCCTTCTCCCACTCCCCCTGCTTGTGTTCCTGCTCTTGCTCTCTCTCTCTCTGTGAAATAAATAAATAAAATTTAAAAAAAAAGAAAATATTTCAACTGAAATATGTAATATTGTTGATCTAAATAAAGGGGTAAACTGAGGCAAGCTCAAAAAGGAGGAGTTTATTTGGGAAGAGCAGAGGAATTGCAATTTGAGACAAGCGACTGTTGCAAACTATAGGCGAGCGCATTGAAAGTTTGGGGTAGGTTGTATTTGTGGGCAGGGAATGTAAAGAGAGGAACGTTCAGCCAGAAGTCAGTCAGACTCAAACGCACACGGAGACCAGCTTTGAAAATGAAAGGTGTCCAGGACAGGCCCCCAGATTGTGCCACTTAAACCACGTTTACACGTACAGTTTAGTAGCATTAATTATGTTCACATTATTGTGCAACGAATCTACTTCTAAAACTTTTCATCATCCTAAAAACCATTCCCTCCTTCCTTGAATAAAATCCTACCAGGCTAACATCCGCTGACTCCAGCTTATTCCCATGACCTCACTTCCTGTCACAAGACTCACTCCACTCCGGCCCTCGTGGCCTCCCTGTCTTGGCCCTATGCGAGTCCCTCTTCCTGGCACATCCTTCCTCTTCCAGTCACGCAGCTCCTGAGAGATGACATCCTGGCACGAGATGGCACGATAAAGATTGCTGTGGTCCTAAACTCAGGGGAGGGGGAGAGGAGGGGCACCATCTCTTCCTGGTTGTTTTTGAAGGATTTCCAAGCAACCACTAAGCATTTATTTATTAACAGGTAGGCAGTATTCTTAGAATGGCCCCCCAAGACCCCTCACGCATGTGTAATCTCCTCCTGCAGGATGGGTGAAACCTGAATATGATATATTAAAGTGGTACAGCAGGCCCAAAATAGAGTCACTTATGCTAAGCCCCACGTAGAAAACCAAGACTTCCTACGTAACCTGATTGCAGCTTCAGCATCTCCCAGGAATAGAATTATAAACCAGTCTGGAATTTCCTGATTGACACTTAATAAGAAGGTAATCTGCATGATAGACCCCTGCGCTTCCTCCCACCCACACTCCAGCCCTCCAAGAAAAGTAATCTTGCCTGAAACAGCCCTTTCTTTTCTTTTGCTAATAACATCCGTGTCCCACCCATCTCTGCCTGTAAGTCTTCCATTTTTTAAAAGATTTTATTTATTTATTTGAGAGAGAGAGAGAGAGAGAGAGCTCACGCCGTGCGTGTACAAGAGCAGGGGGAGGGGAAAGGAGCCGGGGAAGGGGAGGCAGAAGGCGGGGGCAGAAGGAGAGGGAGGGGCAGACTGCCTGCTGAGCAGGGAACCCCAGGTGGGGCTGGAGCCCAGGACCCTGAGATCATGACCTGAGCCGAGGGCAGATGCTTAACTGACTGAGCCACCTGGTCTTCCATTTTATACAGCTCTTCTGATCCCCTTTCTACTTGCTAGCAGGATGCTGCCT